AAGGGTGCACCCCCACCCCCACCTTCGGGACTGTGGTACATCTAGGTTACTGCGCCTCTCCTTTCCTCTGCAACCCCTGGATCCCTGCCTGAAACTGCCAGGACACGCATAGGGGGAAGTGGGGCGCTCCTTAGCCTTGGCCCAGTGTTTCGCCCTGATGGAGCTTGTGAAGCGTCGGGTCTGGTCGTTCTTCCTCACACATCCCAATGACTTAAGCAGGTCAGGGGCTCACAGCTCTATAGCAAGGGACGACAAAACACCTCCCTCCTCCCTTCCAACTGGCTACCTTCCCCCCACCCCCACCCTCCCGCAGAGCACAATATATCCGCAGTCCAAGCCCTGGCACACTCTGCCAGTCTTCTGGATGCCAAGTTATTTCTTTAAAGGACAAACCAAAAGCTAAGCCCAGAACAAAAACAGCCACGGAGGAAGGTGTCGACCCACATACAATGCACCCGAGCGCAGAGAAAAATATGTACACAGAAGCCCTCCGCAATGCGCTCTCCCCCGCCCCCATCCCCATCCCGCATCTGTGCTCGCACAGATCCGTGTTGCTGTCACAGAATCAGCTTCTGTCTCTCTGAGTCTGTTTGCCTCGCTAAGCCCCCGTCTGTCACAGGCACACGCCTCCGCACCCCAAGGGCTGGGGTCGGGGCAGCCCTGCCAAGCAGGAGCCCGCGACCCCGCCCGCCCGCCCGCGCGCCGAGCTCCGCGGAGGGTGCCGGGGCTCCTCCTCGGTGGGCCCGCTCGGAGCGACGGTGCTCAGCCAGCCCCGTTCTTGGCATTCACCGCGTGCCTTAATTGTATGGACATTTAAATCAAGGTCCGCTGTGAACACGGAGAGAGAGGCCTTGCTCCTGAGGAAGGAAGGAAAGGTGGAAGCGAGGAAGAGGTGCGGGAGAGGATATGCGAAAACTGGGAAAAAGGAGGAAAAAGCGGCGCGCGCGTCCGCAGTACAGCGGGGAGGGGGTGGGGGTGGGGGAGCGGGGAGCGGACCTCGGCGCCCTCCCCACCGCAGCTCCCCCAGGCACACAGACAATGAGATAACAGCGACGTCTTCCAAAGGCTCTTTGTTCTCCCCCATCCTTTCGGATCCAGGCTTTTTCCTGCAACGCGGAGGGGGTGGAGGGTTGGGGTGTGGGTGGAAGAGGAAGACGCACGGGTGCCTCCCCTGTGGTAATTACCCCGACTCCCCTCGCCCCTTCCTCGCTTATCCTGCAGCTCCAGACAATGAAAAAACAACACTGACCCCACCTCGCCCCAGCGCAGCAAACCCTTCCCACCCATCTCGCCCCCAGCTTCCCCCAGGAAGCCGCGAGGGGACAGGAGGGAAGACGAGGGCAAGGAACGAGGGGGCACAGGGGCTCGGGCTCGGCCGCGGCTGCCAGGGCAGGGGGCGCAGCCGCCCGCTTTACCTCGCTGGCCGAGAGCCGGCGCAGCCCGGCCGGGCGTGCCGCAGGAGCGAGCCTCCGCGGTCCGGGGCCGGGATCTGGGGAATCAGCCTTCCGGAACTCGCCTGCTGCGGTCCTCTCGTTCAGGTCCCAAGTGGTGGAGGGGAAAAAGGAAAAAGGGGGGGTGGGGGAAGGAAAAAAAAAACCCATAAGAGCGAGGCCCATCTGGCCCCTCATCAGCTTTGTCAAGTCTTGCATACGCTAAAATGCTAATGACCTAGATAGCTCAGGCAAAATGCAGCAGGGAGGGAGGGAGCGGGGAGGTGGGAGGGAGGCAGAGAGACGGAGGGGAGGGAGGGGTGGGGAGGGAGGGAGGGAAAGAGAGAATATATACGTCTTCGAAACACCCCTGCCACTCTCCCCACCCCACCCCACCCCACCCCAAACTGTCAACTGGCTTTACCAGGTAAAGGCTGGGCGTAGATTTAAAAGGTCACTCGTGTCTAATGCAGCTGGATCCCTGGGTCAAAAGAAGGTAGAAGGATGCAGAATGAGAGTCCCCAAAGCCAAATGGATAATAAGACATTTGAAGCCCCCTCCCTTCATGCCCTCCTTCACCTCTTCTGTTTACACACAAATCCAGGCGCCGCCTTTTGTGTGTACACGGACATTTCATTTATTAAAATCAACTCCTCAGAGCTCTAATCAACAAGCACCCATATGCTCCTCCCCAGCAAAATTCATCCTCTGAACCTGAAGTAGGTTTAAAAAAACCCTATTCTAAATCCTCCGTTTTGCCCGTCCGCACTTACCTCCCCCTCGCCCCACCATTCCCCTCACCCTCGGCCCCCAGGCCCCCCAGACCCATCTCTAGCTTATACTCTTTTCTAAGCCTTCTATCCCCAGTCTCCCCAACTCCCGATCTCGAGGAGGTGAGCAGGGGAGTAGGAACGTCAAGTGCACCTGACCTCCCACGATTCACCTTCCTTTCTCAGAAAAACAAAAACAGTAATAACCCAGTTCCCAACAATGACCCTGTTCAAGCATGCCAGAAAGATAAACAGAATTCAATCCGAATACCCTCGGAGGTCCGCAAGGCCGGGTGGGGGCCCCCGGCACCGGAGATCCTCGCGTTCCCGAGCCAGCGCTCCCGAGCATCCCTTCTCGCCGAGCGCAGAGCGCTTTGTCCGGGGGTCCACGCAAGATCTTCTTTTTGTTCTTTTTAAGAGGTTGGTCGCAGTCCGCAGGATCTCAGCCAGCCCAACGGAAGGCAGTAGATCTACTGGAATAAAAGGGATCAAGATAATATACGCGCAGATGACTGAGGGCGGGACGCGGAGAAGCGAAGGAAGCCGGCGTTCGGGGGGCAGCCTCCAGGGCCGGCCCGAATAGCTTCCTTCGCGGGGGAAGGGGCGGGCGGCAAGAAGGCGCTGGTGGTCGCTCCACCTGGCAGGAGGAAATAACCACGATGAGGTGCATCCTGATGATGATCGTGAGCATGATACAAAATCCCGTCTCCCTTTGGTGAACCAGAGCCTGCGTGCAGGAGGGACTGCGCTGCTGGCGGCGGCGGCCGGGAGGAAGGAGAGGCGCGGAGGCGGCAAAGGTTGTGCGGCAGCTCCCTGAGATGAATAAGAACGCGCAGCCCGAGTTGCGGTTCAGCCTGGAAATCCAGCCCTCCGCGTGAACTCGCGTCGAGTGCGGATTGCAGGGGATGGGGAAGAGGGGGTGGGGAGGGAGGAGGAGGCAGGGGGAGGAGGCAGCGAGGGACGGGGAATTTGGAGCCTTTGCATTTTATCCTTACCAAACCCTAATCTCGTTCACTGTCTATGGGTGAGGTCGATCTCCTTTTAAAAAATTATTATTCCTTTAACGTATTATTCAGCTAAAAGGAGCCACATCTGCTGACTGTACCGAAAACAAGAGGATTAGGAGCCGGTCCACAGAGCCCGGCCCGCAGCCCCCCACCCCCTCTCTGCACCAGCACACGTCATTCTCACTGCCCCCGGGTACCTCCCTCTCCTCGCTCGCGGAGAGCGGTGCCAAGGAAAATGCGGATTTGGGTAAAGTGAGAAGTGGGAGCGCTCGGAAGAGCGGGAAAAGCCAAGGCGGGAGGTGGCGATTCGCACCCCCCCACTCACACGCGCTTCCGTTTACCGGTTTCTATCCTGGGAGAAGGGGGCGCTTTCGCAGTGCCCACGCGCGCTGCACCTGCAGCGGGGCGTGCCCTCCGCCCCCTTTCACGTAACCCCGGCCATCCCCGGCCCGGACCGTCAAACCCACATCTGGGCCCACCACCCCACTCCCTTGCCGCCGCCTCGGCAGCCGCGGCACCGCGGGTAGTCTACTCCCCGTCTCTCCCGCTCGGGCAGATGGAGCGGGGGGCTCAGAGCACCGGCACGCCCCCTGCTTCTGGTCCCCAGGCCGGAGGCGCCGGCCGGGGGTTTCCGCGGGCTGAGACGCGGGCCAGGGCCACGATGGGGATGGGGATGGGGCGGTGGGTGGCGTGCTGCGGCGGATACCGTTGACATCACTGCGGCGAGCGCGCGGCAGCCGGGCCGCTGCGGCGACCAGAGAGCCTTTGCACCTCCCCCTCCTCCCAGCCCCCAGCTGGCGTCGGGGCAGGACCGCGGGGGGCGGGCGGAGGAAGAGTTGGTGTGGGTGGGGGACGGTAGTCCCATCCCCCGCCCCCCTGCAGTCAAGGTGAACGTGAAGGAGAGCGGGCGCGCGTGCCCGCGCCTCGGGATGCGTGCGCGCGCCCCTGCGCTCCCCTCCTCTTCGCCCCCGGCGCCCTGCCGCCCACCCGCGCCCGCAGGGGCCAGATGGACGCGCGAGATTAGAGGCCCAGAAGTGCGTCCCCACGTCCGGTCGCCACCCGTCCCGCGTACATTTAGACTCACTTTGGGGAGACGCCTTTTGTTGTGATTGTGGCCGTGTTGTGCGTTTTTTCGGGAGCCCGGGGTTAGCTTGGTCTTAAAGAAGGACTCAGGATTAATCTGCCCCTAAGAACAAAACCCGAGGAACCCCCGTCCCGATCCCCAACAAAAACCCGGCGCCAGCAATGAGAAATCTTCGGGCTCTCCGCGGAGTCCGTCCAGCAGTCGCGGGAGTCAACCCCGACCCCGGCGATTTCCCCGCTCGCAGGGTCCATCTGCTTCCCCCACTCTGGCTTCTCTTTAATGACTTAAAAAAAGAAAATCTAAGTGTTTTCTTGGGCAGTGCTAGGTTCAGAGCGAGATGGATAGGAAGAACAAGCCCCTGACAGCTCAAAAGCAGCCCCTCAAATCAGATGGCCCGTACGCTGCGGCCGCCAGCCGACCTGCCGGGGTCGCGGCAGACGCGCGCGCCGAGCGGGAACGGTCCGAATGAATGGTGACCCTGGACGCTGCTCTGTACGCTTGAATTCAAGGCCATTTCAGTGCTTGTCAATGACTGGGTGCTTGCCCCAATGAAAGAATAGCAATCTCAAAACCTCCTAGCCCTGGCTTTTTGCCTCCCGTAGTGTATCCCAAGAAGCTTAGAAATCAGGAGTTTTTGTAAAACTCTAAGAAGTGGAAAGCTTTGGTTTAAATTTAGAGAGAGACACAGACAGGGGGAGAGAGAGAAACAGAGAGAAGAATATAAATATTCCTGCAATAGATTTTTAATTTCTCAAGACTGTGTAGTTGGAAAGAGTCATCATCTGGCCTATCCTTTAAGGGAAAACTTACCATTCCGATAACGTTCGCCTTAAACTAAAATACTTCTCTGGTGGAAAAACTGTATTGGCGGTAGCTTGGCTCAAGACTTCCACCATTATGGTGTGTGTGTGCAGGGCGGGGGGGGGTGGCGTGGGTTAGATTCAGGACTTTGTGTTTTGTATTCACTAAGAATTTCTTAGGCAGACAGTTTCTGCACCTACTCTACATGGAAGGATGGGGCTGGGACTTGAGTTCCAGGTTGTCCTGGCTGAAGGGCAGCAGGGCAGACCGCTGCCTCCCTTTCCATGGTTTCCTTAAAGGCCTGGTTTTGTTCAGCTTGTGGACGGTTTCAATGCAGTCCTTCTGCGCCGTTGCTGCATTGCAGGATATTTGCTCTCATCTTGCGGCATGGGGGAGGGAAGCAGAGAGATGGTTTTGTAACGGGCTCTGCAGGCCTGAGTGGGAACGCCTTAAATGATGAGACCAGGGTTAAAAAAAAAAAAAAAAAAGGCAGCTGATGTTGAATTAATAGAACATACCCTTGGGGCTTTTCTCCAAAGAGGGGGTCAGGTCCTTTCCCCTCCCCCCAGTCACAGATTTCTTATCTGTTTTTAACCAGTCTGATCAGATGCTGGGACGTTTGTGATGACTTCTTAAAACCTAAACCCTTGGGCTTAAGAGCTGCCCATGCCCCCGATCAAACACCCCAAACACTAACACGTTAAGAAATTACATTGTAAAACCTCAAATCCGATTGACTGGGCTGTTTGGGGCCCATATGGCTGGACAGCTGTGTGGCTCCACGTGAAAAGACACCATTGCCCCTCGGATGGTATAAAGCCGGGGTTCCCCAGAGAGCTCCGACATGACCTAAGTATTAGCTTAGCCTGGGGTGAAGACTGAGTTAAATCTCTCTCTTCTTGGAGGTTAAAATAAAGACAACAGCAAAAATCAAAAGAGGTTCACTTCTGAATTCAATGTAAATTGCATGCCTCCCGCTGGTCCCACCAAAGGAAGGAAAGAAGACAGAGAAATAAACTCTCTTCAGCTTACCACAAGCATGACGCGAGGCAACTGAAGACACAGGAGATTGGAAAGAAATATATTATTTGCCAACTGTACCATGTGTCGGTGACATTTGTGGTTCCCTGTTCAGAGAAGCAGGGTTCTGACCTCAGCCGATGCATCAGTGTTAACCATAAAGAACAGCCATGAGAGCGCAATTTCCATGGTGAGAAGATGAAATCGTGCTTGAAAAAGGAGAGCCCATTATGAAATGCGGCCGGATTTAATTTTTAATATGATGGCGGATCCTCTAACGCATTCTTTGCTGGTGTTTGCATTCAGGAGGAGTGATTCATTCTGTGGCAGAAATCAAAATAACCCTCTGCTGTACTTTTAAACGGGCCTCTCTCATTTTTAAAGGTGTCCTGAAATAGAACATTCTATAACCTTCAAGTTGTGGTGGCCGGAGAAACTGAATACAAAACTCTGCTCTTATTGAAGTGTTCAGGCTAGATAGGAACCAGGTTTGTTCTAACTCATCTGTGCGCATTTGCATACTGCATAATCCATATTCCTTGTTCTCTTCAGGCCTTAACAAATATTTTAAAGTAAGGACAAGGAGGAAAAAAAAAGCCTTTGAAAATCAATCTGAAAAGTGAAATGGGGGGAAAACACTGGTTAGAGGGTTAGGTTCATGAACTTAGTCCAATGTCAGTCAACATTGCTTCAGAGCATTGTTTTGATAGTGAAACCACCTCCTTTAAAAGCTTCACATAGATTTAGCAGACATAAAAGAAGTATTCCTTTTGTGTCTGTTCATATCTTGGAAATAGCTACAGATAGTTCTTGCAGTTACTGTGGCTTTCAAAAAGTAAACAAAACAGATTTGGAGATATTATTTGAATGGTGTAATTAATGATGGAACCCCAGAGGCCATTTGCTTTTTCTTCTTACTTGCATAAAAGAAGCAAGGCCTAGAGAGAAGGAAAAATTGCTTCTGGATACCATGTGGATGGTCTGTGGCAAATTCAGTGGTTAAGAACAAAACCAGTTCTCTTCACTTCTTGCCCGTATATTCTCCTCAGATCATATGTAAACTTAAAGTTTTCTAAGATTTTGGTAAATAAAAAAAATAGCCAATCATACTTACATAATAGGTAGCTTGGATTTAATGTTGAAATTCAAGTTTTTCTACTTAAATTCCTCTAGTTTTAGTGAAATTTCATAGCATAGTTAGGAAAAATCACACCGCCTACCTCCAGTGGCCCTGGAAGGATAAGGCAAGAGCCACCCAAAAGTTTCAGAGCCTTTAGCCAAGTGAATTAAGTGCCACAATGTGCCAACAAAATAAACACATTGAGGCCAGGGGCTAGAGATTTTTGAGCAGGACCACAAGACAGAGGCCTGACAAATAGCATCCTTTTATAATCATTTTGGGGGAAGGATGAGGCTTGTGGCAAGTCTGTGACACATATCTAGTTTATCAGGTGGCAGCAATCAAGTCAGTTTGCTTTGTTTCTGCATTATTTAATAAATTATTCATATTGTACAAAAAAAGGAATATTTAAAAAAAACCTGAAAGGTAATTAAACCGGCAAGATAAAGGTGACTCGTATGACCTTGGACAAGTAAGTCACTGTTTTTCTTCTACTTCTTTTTCCTATCCACTTCTTCAACATGAGATGCTTGGAGTAGATTTCTAAAGTCCCTTTCAACACAAATAGTGTATTATTCTATTGTTTAAAAAAACATCCACATGTTCCTGAGTCTGGAAGATATTGTCTCCCTTTTAAAATCTATCTGGCAGACACTGTTCAGAGCCTGAGAAGTTGAACACAGAAAGCTTAAAGGAAAATCGTGGTGTGTGTGTGTGTGTGTGTGTGTGTGTGTGTGTGTGTGTGTGTGTGTGTGTGTGTGTGTGTGGTTAAATAGCATTTATCTGAAAGTACAATCCTCTTTATTCTTGATTACTCTCTGGGTCAGGAAAAGGTCCCTATATCAGGTGAAAACATTTTTTTATCCCCCTTAGAATTCCTCACCACAACGGAACTGTCCGCCTTGTGTGCCTTCACATAAGCAGATCCAACCTGAGCCCTGTCGCAGATTTAAATGCCCTCCCTTCGGCTCCATCCTGACCTAGATTGCAGGATGAAAACTAATGATTCATTTGCAATGCTTATGATGGGCATCTACTGCAGGGTTCTCCCTCCTCCCTTGTTCAGAAAGAAACCCTGTTACTCTTATATCTGATATCACCACAAGTAAATATTTTTGTTCAATTGCCACATAGGGCATGAAGCTATTTCCTAATGAATTATCTGCCCCAGGGAGAGGATCTATAACTCGCCAGTGCTTCAGGCAATTTTTAGCATGTGTCAGATTGTGTTTGCACTGGAGAACTTGGACTTTTTTTTTTTGGTGCAGGCAAATTCTTGTTTTCCTTTTTGTCCTTATGCAGAGATATACATACAATTCAACATACCTTTACAAAGAGAAAAGCCTTGTTAATGTTTCAGAGTCTGATGGGAGCATGCAGTGTTCATATGCATAAAGGACAAGACCATGGAGAGGATGTAATGTTCGTATTCATATGCCAGATACTGTTTCAGTGCAAACTGGACAAGGCTTGCTTTGCATTACATTTACAGTCAGCTACCATGTACTATGCATTATGCAATCAGCACATTACACTCAAAAAGTGGTCCTGACCGATAATGAGGTACCAATTGGTGTGTTCATTAAATATACAGATTTGAAGTAGAATTAGTAGAAATTACTGAAATGGAAATCTTGTCAATCATAAATGAGACAGCTGACAAGTCAGAGGGAAAAAAAACCCAAATACGATTCATATCTAGTAAGATTGTGTCTGAGGATGATTTAAATAAATTTGGACATTAGGTGGTGACAAGACGAAAATGAAAAATAGCATCCAATTGCACAAAAAGACTGTAATAGGCCGGGGGAGGGGGAAGTGTAAAAAAAAATGGGAAAAGGAAGAACAAGGGGGTCGTTTGGAGCATAGCTTGTTTGTAATGAATGAATGAATAGATGAAATCTAGAATATTTATTTCCCAGTAGCTGACACTCAAGAGACATTCAACTATTGTTCATAAAATAAAATCAGCATCCCTTCTGCGTTGAGCTGCATCAAACAGATTATCTGCATATATAACTCGGCTGGAGGGCCCAAGACACGGCAGCTAGAAGTACAGCATGGAGAATGTCGCTTTACTTTCAAGCTTTAATTTCAAAATGCGATAAACATGCATTTAAAAACAGTGTACGTGAGACAAAGGGGCCGCTGCTCGCTAGCCAGCTCTGTGCCAGGCACAGTGCTGCCTAGGTGTTTTTTTCATACATTATCTAGAACCTCCATTGCTGACTCCATTTTACAGAAGAGGCGACTGCTTCCCCGAGCAGTTAAATGACTTTCTCAAGTGCATAAGCTGGAATTGGAATCCAGTTATGACCTGCCCCAAAGACTCTGCTTTTTCCATTACAGCTCCTTGCTGCAGACTTCCCAGAAGAAACAAGAAGAACATTACATAATGTAAAGCTGACATAAAAAAAAAATGGAAGCGTTTGTCCTGTTTCCTGTACCAGGTTGAAGCAAGCAGTGTAAGACTGACAGAGAAGATGAGAAACACCACTTAAGATAATTTTTCCTGCTAAACTCTGTTGTACGCTATGCAAATATGATTGCAAAAGTGGAACATTATCAACACTTTAATGCTAGTTATCTTTCAACGATGATACTTAGAGTAATCAACATAAACTTAGTATACTGTATCCTAAATAATAAAAATGTTGGCTTGCATCATTCTGACATCTTAGTGCGACCTAGAAAGCCAATCTGGATGATATATAGTGATAATAACATTCTGCATTTAAATAGCATCTTAACAAGTCACAGCGTTTTGTCACCTGGAATGGGGCGGCAGAGGGGAGCCAGAAAATAGAGAGGACTTAGTGGTTTATTTGGGGGCAGAGAGCCAGGGGAAGTTCTTGGGATGGAGGACTGTAAATCAAGGTGAACATATTTTCATTTTGTTCTAGATGATCTGCTTACTGCCTTCTCCAAGGCTGGGCTGGTAAGCGGGACCCCTGCTTGGCAGAGAGGGTCCCTGCCTTGGGTGCTTGATCAGATACCCTGAGCTGATACAAAACAATGCAGAAGAAATGGGTAGATTGAAGCAAGTGATAAAAAAGGTAGAGGGAATAAAAAAGGAATGATAGGAATTTAGTTTTTTAATGGGATTTATTTCTCTGCTTAATATATATTTTTTAGATTTGAGCTACCCGAGGGTTGGAAAAGATGGCATTTCATTCCCAATTCCTTACTAGTTGTATGTCAATAGCCACATTATTACTGAGAGAGTTTCCCGTGTATTAAAGGCACCAGTGTTCTGGCAGAGTGCCACGTGGTGTGGACTACAGGGCTGCGAGGCAGGAGGCCTGGGGTCCAGTTCTTGCTCTCCTATTAACAGTGACCTTGGACAAGTCACCCTCCCTCTCCGAGCCTAATTCTGCTCTTACTGGTAAGTGAGGGTATGGGGGTTCTTTCTGCTCTCCGAAAGCCTTCACCTTTCTTTGTTCTGTTCCCAACTCACAGGACAAGATCTCACCTCAGGAATGGGCACCCCCCGCCCCACTGTGTTTATTCTCTTAAGGGAGTTTCAAAAAGGCTGGAAGATCACTTAGTAGCATTTTGGGACCCTCAAAGCCGATGAGTAATGGTTGTTTGAGGGAGACAGAGGATGCTCTTCTGTCTCTTCTGACATTGTGCTGGGTTTGCGTGGATCCCGTCCTCTTCTCTCATGGAGGGCAGACTCTGCAGGAGAACAAGCACCGCCTTGGTGCCGAGACAGACGGGAGACCGCGTTCCAGCTACCCCACCACCTGCTCGGGGACCTCGGACTAGTTTTCACGGGCGATATGGGGACAAGGATAATGCTGACATCACAGGGCTCTCGTTGACTGAGACGACACCCAGGAAATGCCAGGCTTGTACCTCTGCCTTCCCTCTAAAAGGTGGGCCCAGAAATGACTCCTGCTCCTGTCCCCTCCTTCTCTGGGGGTGCGGACGGTGCAATGCCCTGAGCTGTGTGCCCCATGGCTGGCCGTCGTCTGGGCAGAAGGGGGCCTGGAGAAGGGTTATTTCCCGATGTGTCCCGGAGCCGATCTGCAGTCTGACTGGACAAGCATTGTAAAACTGGCACATTATGAAACAGAAATACAGCTCGGAATTCCTCCTGATTTCTGGAGGAGAGTTTTGAAGTCCTGAGGGTGTCAGAAGCTCCCACAGAAATGGAGCTCGAGCAGGCATGGGACCGGCCATGTTGGCCCCTTGTGCGGGAGGTGGTCAACTATGGGAGAGAGAACCTTAGAGCTGGAAGATAAGATGAGGAGAGAAGCACCTTGGCCAAGGCCACCCAGTTATTCTGGGGCTAGAAGTCATAGATGAACTGGCCGCACCACTGCGTAGGGAAGCAGAGGAGGGTACCGGTGGGAAGAGGTGGCATTCCGGGTTGGGGCAACGAGCAGAGGCTGCTTGTTTGCTTCCTCACGGGGCCTGAGCACAATTCACAGAACCGCAAGATTTTGAAGTTCTCTTTGATGGGAACAGAACAATAGCTCTGTCTACCCCAGAGGTTGTCAGGGTAAAATGACAACCTGCGTAAAAAACACTTATTAAGTGCTCAACAAATATATTAGCTAAAGACATTGTTTCTTTAAAAAAAAAAAAAGGCAGCCATGTTGCTTTTGGTCAAGAAAGACTGTTAGCATCATTGGCATTGTTCTGGATGAAAACCAGAGAAGTTGTCCAGTGCCTTGTGGCAACAGCATTACCACTAATTGCAGAGAAGGCTGATTATAACCACATTTCCAAGGTCCTTTTGGAGACCTGGGCCTTAAAGCTAAGGTCCGTTTTCAAGGACGTAGCGACCTCCGCTCTCTGCCGTCATTCACTGCGGCACAGTGTGTTGGCAGGAGCAGGAGCAAGCGTTGAGGGCTCAGGCTGAGGGTGGGAAGTTCTCTGGGGACGTCTGGGAGAGATGAGATGAAATTTAGGACTTCTTTGGTGTGCTGAACAGGACACAGTGTATGACTGAAGGGGACAATTTTTGACATCCTAAGGGGGACACTTACAAATCCTAACTAATAGGGTTCTAGACCTTTTGCTTCTTCAGTTTCTTTCATTAATGTCTTACAGTTTACAGAGTACGTGTCTCTGACCTTCTGGCAGTAAGAAACCTCCTGGGAATTAATACCTAAAATTTTTTAGGAGGTGAGATAGGAATATTTTTTTAATTGCATAGTAGAGCTCGAAGGAAATAAATATAGCTGGACCAGAAATAAAATATTGTTATATGCTGTTTGCAAGAGCTGCATCAAAAACGTGGAACAAAAAGGCTGAAAGGAAAAGGATTGGAAAAGAAAGAACATGTAAACACTAACCAACAGAAAACTGTTGTAGTTTATCAATATTAGATAAGAGGGACTTGAAGACAAAAGACATTGTTGGTGGTAAAGATCATCCCCACATAATGAACAAGGTAAAAAGAATAATTAAGTAGAAGAACAGTCTAAACTTGTATGCCCTTAGAAGTTTAGCTTTGAAATATGAAGGCAAAAATGAAGTAATTTTAGGGAGAAAAGGGGCAAACAGTAAATGATAGCTAGAGATTTTCATATACCTCTCTTGGTAATTGATAAAAGCTGCTGGAAAAGATAGAGAAGATTTGAACAGTACACTATTAAGCTTGCTCTAATGCACAAGCTTGGAAACCTCTTCTCAGTAATTAGAAAAACCACATTCTTTTCAAGCATACATGCGACATGTATAAAACTGGATCATGTACTAGCCCACGAATAAAGTTTCAACAAATACTATGATATGATGTTATTTGGTTCCATATAACTGGGTGAGAAATCACTAGCAAAAAACAAAACAAAACAAAACCAGAACAAATACTCTACCTGCTTTCCCCCATGCATTTGGGGGAAAAAAAAGTCATTTCTAAGTAACTAACTGGTCCAAGAAGAAGTTCCATTGTAAATTATTAATTAGTGGATTAAAATACTACATACCAAGACTGTGTTTTGCAGTCATAGAAATACTTCAAGGAGAACTTATAGCCTTAAAGTGCTTGTAACAGAAAAGAAGAAAAACCAAAGATGAGTGATCTAAGTTTCTGATGGAAGAAGTTAAAAAAAGGAAAAGCAGAGTATTGTAAGCCTAAAGAAAGGAGGAGGAAAAAAAACAAGGATATGAGAAAAAAAGAGGTGACAGGTGGCGAGATGTAGGCTCTAATGCCATCTGGAATAGGTCCATGGCTATGTTATGGATGAGAAGCACCCCCTGCTGCAAATGTCTTTCCCTCTCCCCAGAATAGAGCCTCTCCCCGCTGAAGGCCCTCTGCGCTGAATCTGTGCCCCCTTTGTAGTGGACTAAAGTGGTGCCTCACTATCTGTGGCCTTCACGTCGGTGTGGCAGCTCAGCAATTCTATTCAATGACTTTTCTTCCTCTAGTTGTGTATTTACTCCTTTTATGAGATTGCAAACTCTTTCAGGCAAAATGGTATCTTTTTCACCTTGGCCTCCCCGGAATGTGTATGCCTGGATTTTGTGCAAAGGAGCAACCTGATCTTTAAATGTGTTTGAAGTTTGTAGACAGTATAGGCTGGGAGAGAAATGGGAGAAGGAAGGTGGAAGTGATTTCTGACACTTCCAGATGTGAGAATCTGGTCATAATTCAGAACAGGCTACTGCTGACCTTAAACACAGAAAGGAACTTTCCTGATGTGTGGCCATGGCTTCTTAAGAAACTCCAACAAAAAAAAATTCTCCATTGGAGAGGAAGCACATTCCTTTCTGAGGCCTGTCTGTGGTGGTGGTGGGGTTTGGGGTTCGGGTGGGGGCTGGATGAGGAGTGATTAGGGGTAGAAGGTTTAGGAGTTGCATGCCACCTAGGTGTATGGTCCCCACTACTTGTGTTTTATTATCATGGTGAAATATACATAATACAAAATTTACCATTTTAAACATTTGAAGTTGTACAATTCAGTGGCATGAAGTGCCTTCATAATGCTGTACAACCTCCACCACTATCCACGTCAAGAAAATTTCATCATCCCAAACAGGAACTCTGTCCCCACTACTATTCAACTGTGTAATTTTGGGTCACCTTGATCAAGTTGCTAGTATCTTTATCCATAAATTGGAGCTCATCATATTACCTACTAAGTAGGATTATTGTCTGAATTAAATGACATAGTGCATGAAAACTGCTTAGCACAGTACCTGGCACTGTGTTTTATTGAGCAAATATTCAACAAATAGGAAAGAACAAGGGGAAAGAAAAGTCAAATCATTTAGAGCCAGGAGCAAGGCTCAAGGTAAGGTGCACATGGTACATGGAAAGCACACTGGACACTGTCTTGATGGGCCTTGACTAGAGGTGTACCTGTTGGCAAATAACCTTTTCAGGCTTGAAAGGTGTGGGGCTGGAGGAGGAGTTCTGAAAATTTCTTTCTGCACCAGCACTACATCTGGCACATCATGGGAACTCAAGAAACACTTGAGTAAGTGAATGAATGAACACGTACATGAACATTTCAGTGCTCAAAGGGAGGATAGATAGCATTCAGTCTTAGCTGTCAGTTTGTCCACGAGAAGACTGAGACTCTGAGAAATAAGGGGACTTATTACAGATCACACAGTTAGGGGTAAAGCTGTATTAACAAGCCAAGGTCCCTAAGCACGTTGTGCAATCTTAACTCGAATTGGAACCCAGAAAAACAGGAGAAAAACCTGAGAAAATCCAAAAGGCCGGTGCAATGCCTAGTTTAGAGTCACAGTCTGCCAGCGTGCAATGACATTTTCCCTGTTCTGACTACACGGTTGATCCAGAACGCTGCAGATAATTGCTTTTTGTTAAGGAGAGAACATTTCCTTCCATTTCAGGGGCGATGGTCATTCTGGTGATGAGGATCATAGAAAATAACTATTCTTAAAACTATGATTCTCGGAAGAACTAGGAATTTTAAAAGGACCCTAAAATAGCCCTCTCATTTTAACCTCACCCAGCCTCAAGTTTTACTGATAAGGTGTGGAAGCTGTGACAAGAATAAAGTGAGATAAAGTGTGTGACGGCAGCTGGCATATGGATGGCATTCAGCAAATATTTGTTCCAAGCCAAGGGGGATACTACTGGTGGAGCCTCCTTCCCATCCCTATCAACAGCCCACTTGACCCTGCTGGGAAGATTTGCCAGTACTGTACACGCTTTGTTTGCAGTGTGACCCGAAGAATAACCTCGGGGGAGGAGGCAGCCATTAGGACTGGAGCAATTGATAGCAAACACATACTGCTGTTTCTCCGCTTCGCCCCAGGTTGTAGTTAGTCAGAAATGGCTTCCCATGTCTATGGGAAACACTGATAAGTGTCTCAGTGATACTAATGCTGTGGCTGCAGGTTTCCGTCTATTCCCAGAGAGCCGTGTCATTTGGCGTAGAGGTGGTCATCTCATACCCATGCAGAGCAATGGGAAGGAATCAGTGCTGGGAGTCAGGACATTGGTTTCTAGACCTGAGCACTTAGCTCTCTAATTTCAGGCAAATGGCTTTACTTCTCTGAACCTCGGGATCCTCTTCTGTGAAACAAGGGGCTTGGAATGCATTGTTTCTCCGACCCTCTCAGCTCACCAACACCTGTATTCCATGTATTTATCCACTCACAGCTTACCAAGTGTTGCTACTCAGTGAAAATACGACTTCCCAGACGTGTGTACAATCACAATCATATGCACACACACACACACACACACACACACAAACATGTCCCACACATCCTCTTACACCTAGAATCTTCACTTAGGGAATTAGTGCAAGAATCTGATGCCCCGGTGAACAGTCATTTTACTCACCACCACCTTTAGAGTGACAATAACCCAGCTGCGTCTGGACTAGAACCTCATCTTCTTTGTGACTCTGGGCTTCTGCTGCCAAACGAGGTAGAAATGGTGCAATCTGACTTCCCCCGTCTAGAGTGGCTGTGGCTGAAGCTGCAGCAGCCGCCTGCCTTTTTGACCACGGATGCTGCATCAGCACAGAAATGCCGAGCACAGCACATTTCTGAGCTTGGGAAGGCAGACTGGATTGCTGCAGAGAGAAATGGGTTTCCATTCTTCCAAGGGCTATTTCCCTAGTGAGTTTTAGCAGTGGGAGGAAATTTGCTTTTAAACATTGCAACCCCTAAAAGGATGAATTTGAAAAACCTTGGCTTTTGCCAAGATCAGGCCCCCCTTGTGAAGTCAGACTCAATCATCTGGGATTGCGATCTAGCTTCCTGCTCCGGACGTAGGCACTAGAGCAACCTTTGCATTTGTTAATGGAGATGGTGACAGGGTCTTGAAAGCATCCTAGGGCAAATGCCTGGCTTTTTTCTTAAAGAGTGATGTTTCTGCAGGCTTCCAGGGTTCAGGGCGACCTCACTTGACCTGATAGGATGAGATATTCTTTGTGGTGCCGGCTTTCCTGGCATAATCTGTTGAGAATAGAGTCTGGGAGCAATGGGGGTGGAGAATGCTTTTTAATTTCCACAGGTGTCTCCCTGAATTGCTCACTCAGCTTTTGGGTGCCAGTTTCATCGGTGGCCAGTCTCCATGTCCACGTAAATGCTAGAGCTGATGGTCTCTGGGCATATTTGCCACCTGAGTTTCAGTTTCTCATCTACAAAATAACATCACTCACAGGTGATCATGAAAAATTTTATGTGATTTATGACAGTGGTCTTCAAATCTTTCTGAGTATGTTCTCCATCAGCACAAATGTATCTGTGTGTGCACACCCAATATATGTATATGTGTGTATATATATATATATGTAGACATATATTTGTAAATTATATAACACATATCATTCATTAACTCCAATTATATATATATATTATAATATATACTAAGGATGGGTTTCATTATTAATGAATGGATGTTCATTATAATGAATTAATGTTGGATGTTAAACGATATTTCCAACACTTGTGATAATTTCAAAATTTTTTGGCTAACTCCTTGGATTTGAGTAGGTCATCACTGTTTTGATCTTGTAATATGGTTGTAAATACAGCTGAAATAAGGTTGTAACATGGTTCTGAATGTGGTTGTGAATACGGCTGTAATATGGTGGTAACATTGTTGTAAAATGGTTGTGAAGATGGTTGTGAATATGGTAGGAATATGACTGAGCTCTTCCTAGGAGTGGAAGTGTCAGCTCTGCCTTTTCATGTTGCTTGTGTTATTAGTATTCATTTTCACTTGGGATTTCTTCACAGGAATCTTTCTAAGGCAAGCATCCACTGTGTACATGTGGGGTCAGCTTAAATAAAACTAGATTGTATAATCTGAAACTCCACGCAAGCCTCATGCATTGTGGATCTCTCACTTTTCCATCAGGGTAACATGTTTCCTGAAAGTTATACCTGGGCTCTGACACCCGGATGAAAAAGTCATCAATGTCAACCCATACATGAGATAGTAATAAAGATTAATTTCTTTGGGATATTTAAGATAAAATAAGAGATGTTAATATTTTCTTTCCTGTACTTCAGGGGCTGGTTCTGCCTACCCCCTGAGGTATGTGCTTCCGCCTTTTTTTTGGAAAACATTGGTGAGGGTACATATCTGGAGAAAGATGTCTTGATGGCAGAACTATGCTCGCCAAAAGCTCCCAGGACCTCCAAACACTTTTTTCAAGAAGGATCAATCCCATTGGTTCCCAATAAGAACAGACCTGGTCATTCTTCCTTTGTGTTTGGAGTCTCAGGCAAGAAGGGCAGGGCACACTTAGAGGTTTTTGACTCCAGTGGCATTTACTGCATGACTATTAGAAGCATCTTGAGCATAGATTCCAATTCCTGGATCCATACTTTGGATCAGAGACCTAAGAGAATCCTTTGCAGGAAGGAAGATATCGGAAGGTTTAGTGTAGTTTAGGATTATAAGTAGGAAGAAAGGGAAATGCTTCTGCATTGCATCTTCAGAAGGCTTTGTTGGGTTTCAGAGAATCAGAACTGTCAGTACAGTTCTAGAATTTTGAATAGAATTCAACCCATACATGAGATAGTAATAAAGATTAATTTCTTTGGGATATTTAAGATAAAATAAGAGATGTTAATATTTTCTTTCCTGTACTTCAGGGGCTGGTTCTGCCTACCCCCTGAGGTATGTGCTTCCGCCTTTTTTTTGGAAAACATTGGTGAGGGTACATATCTGGAGAAAGATGTCTTGATGGCAGAACTATGCTCGCCAAAAGCTCCCAGGACCTCCAAACACTTTTTTCAAGAAGGATCAATCCCATTGGTTCCCAATAAGAACAGACCTGGTCATTCTTCCTTTGTGTTTGGAGTCTCAGGCAAGAAGGGCAGGGCACACTTAGAGGTTTTTGACTCCAGTGGCATTTACTGCATGACTATTAGAAGCATCTTGAGCATAGATTCCAATTCCTGGATCCATACTTTGGATCAGAGAACTAAGAGAATCCTTTGCAGGAAGGAAGATATCGGAAGGTTTAGTGTAGTTTAGGATTATAAGTAGGAAGAAAGGGAAATGCTTCTGCATTGCATCTTCAGAAGGCTTTGTTGGGTTTCAGAGAATCAGAACTGTCAGTACAGTTCTAGAATTTTGAATAGAATACTCAGAAATCCTTCTCTGGGTCCTGAAAAATCCAGTTCTTTCTTCAAAGGATGTTAGGTTACAGTGTTCTGCTATGAATTAAGTGAGGTCGGATCACATTGGGTGTGGAGCCAGAAGAGATGCTGCTTATTTCCAGCCAGACTTTTGGAGAAAGAGATGGAATAGTCACAAATCATGATTTAAGCTAAACTTTTACCTGACAAGTCTCTGCAGTGCACCCTGCAATTGCAATTACATAGATAGAGAGACAAAGACTCTAAGTCATTGCACCTTCCAGATTTTATTGGGTGTGGAGGGGAAACTCTAGAAACTAGGCTTTCTCTAGAACAGAATATATAAAAATAGTTCTGGAGGTCTCTGATAGTGTCCTGGTCACTTCAAGGGGAGAGGAGAAAGACCCCCCCTCTCCAGAAAACAGACTAGCTAGGTGACTGTCTTGAAGGCAGAGATTCTTTTTGTAGTAAATTTGGCTTCATGAAGAATAACAGGGTAGAGAGCCTCAAGGAACACATGTTATCCGTCTCCAAAGGGAAGACCGATCACCAAGAGATAATTTTCAACATACATTCAGTGAACAATAAATGGCAATTTAGGGCCTTCTCTCTTAATATGTTCTTTCACAGTAGCAGAACCGTAGCTGGCACATATGTCCTGGTGGCTACCATTCCCAGCTTCCCTTGCTATTAGGTATGGCCATGTGATTGAGTTTTGTCCATGGGACCTGAGCTACTTCCAGTCCTGTGACTTCAGATATTGGTGTGTCTCTACCCTGCTCTTTCTCTTTTCCATGACATGAAGCAGACACAGTGGTGACCCAGCTTTAAAATGTTGGGCGATGACAATTTTCTCAGTGATTGGGTCCCTGAGTGACTATGTGGAGTAAGGCTGCTGCAGCACTACCCCCCCCCACCCCCATCCCCTAAAACCTGGACTACTGCAGCAGGTGCTGCAGTGGGCTGCTTAGATTTTCCTCTTCAGGCCTGAAACACTTATTCCCCCAGATTCTGGGAACACTGGCTGCTGATGGTGGTTCACATTTGAATTCTTCAGGGATTGCTCTTGGCCAAAGAGAGCTGACTCCCTCCTCAAGTTCCCCTCCCTCCCCCAGGAGTAACCCACATCCAGTGATTGGTCAATGCTAGGTCCAAAGGCCTGGCCCCCAGCCTGCATTTTGGACAACTCTAAATGTTATCTCCACTACAGAGCTCCTGTGGTGTTAGCTGAAGCTTCTGCTGTGGTTGCAAAACCCCTTTGCCAGCTGCTGTTCCAGAGGGCACCCCCTAGGAAACCTCAGGTGTGCAAGTCTCCACCTGGGATCTCCTAGGAAATACAACCCAATCTACCACTCACACTGTGATGATTACATGGGGTGGGGGTGAAGGCGACCCTTATTTATTTTTTTAAGTCTCTTCAGTGTTCGGTTTATTTGTTAATAATCATTGAGTGGTGACAAAGAAACTCACCTGGGAATTGGATGACTTGAATCCCAGACCTATTTTTTTTAGGAACTTGGTTTCTGACTTTGAACTTCACCTCTCTTGGCCCTAATCTGATCTGTGAAATTAAGGTGCTGGATTAGATAATTTTAAGGTCTCTTCCAGCTTTAAGAATCTGTGGTTATTATCTTCTTTCTAAAAAGTCTCTCTTCATGAAGCTATAGCGATATCCAGTGGCAGTTGTATTAGTCAAAAATTTCCACCCAAGCAAATGATTTGGAATGTGACCCTACATCATGACCTCCCTTTTGCTTCTCCTCATCCCTTCTCTCCCTTCTGCCCATACCACCTGTCCTCTATTCCTTTCTGACTCATCTCATCTACCAGCCAGAGAGGAGGTCCAGAAAATCTCAGTCATTTCTTTGGGCTCAGCTGCTGCAGTATGCTTCCAGCTGAAATTCCATCTGGAGCTACTGTTTGAGGCCAACTCCTCCTGTGAGAGCTGTCTTTTCTCCATTGCACCTCTCAGCCCTGCACCCCAGGCATGGCTTGAGCAGAACTGGCCACTAAGGACAAACACTGTAATTTTTCTTCCTCAAGTCAGAGTTCTTCTAGAATCAGAATACTCTGGAAAACTCTCTGGGAACATGATGTTGTGTGAGGCACCATAACCAGTAAGAAGGAGCCAGCCCTACCTTCATAGCACTTACACACAAACTCAGGCATTGCCACTCAAACAGGCAGAAAATGATTTGCTTTTTATCTAATAGAGCTTTGCTCTTTAGGAAGTATGGTTTCATGTTATCTCAATTCATCTCTAAAATAACTCAGTAAGTCTGATATTATTATTATCCTCATTTTACAGATAAAGAAAGAGAAGCTAAATGACTTTTCTAAGATCATATCAAAATAG